CTATATGTGTGAGGGCCTTAGACACCATAAGCGTTCAATAGTGACCAGCCAAGCTCTTTCCACACTACCTAGCAATGTATTTCTGGGTTAATAGGAGGTGATGCTTCCAACCTATAAATCCCATTAAGTTTGAATCCCGGTTACTTCAAGATAATGCATAAGAAATGAGGTTGTCATGGCAATTTAGATCTGAGACTCACACCCGATCACAGACCCTCGCTCTGAGGCTCAAGAGACAGTACGTTTTCCATGCTTCATTTTTCATACTGGAACTCTCTTCAGCTTCGTGCATCCACAGACTCAATTGTTGGAGCCTCTGTAGGGTAGAGTTTGTCTTTTTAGATTGGACAAATAGTGTTCTGAGGTGGTAATTAGAAACCTAATACATATATTTTTTACATTGGGAAATTTCACATTGAAAAATCCCACATATCTAAAGCTTTTAGTAATGACTAGTTTTAATCTAATAAATAGTTTGAGGTAAACATAGGGATAATTTTCAAGTGTATTTCCCTTGATAACTGTGTGATATCAACTCTGTACTGTTCTAAATGAAACCCTTCCATTAGCTACTCTAAGGCTATATTTTCAACATCCAGCAAAGAAAACATACCTCTTACCCTTGAGGACTCTCTCACCGAACTTAGCTCAGAGACATTTTTCAGGTTTCTCTCTGTGACATGATTACTTAAACGATTGTAAAGAGTCCCAAACTATTTGAATTGTGACTTCCACACAAACAGGAAGATCGCTTTATCAGAAGACCCTTCACAGAGGTGAGAGGCTCTACATCGTTTACCCTGATGGCCCGGAACGTGATAGAAAAGAATTATGTGCTTCCGTATGCCTTTCTGGCTATCGCCAGAACCCTTTTGGACTGTTTCGCTTCTTTTCCTACATTTATTGTTTTCAGAGAGCGCAGGTTTTTAAATGCAGGAAGAGAGCTCCCAGCTTTTACCAGACCAGCAGACTTTACGGACATGGGGCCTAGCCCCCTAATTCTCGTTGGTTCTGACACTTTCTTGATCTTTCTGCTTTCAAGCACCATTTACCACTTTAGCTAAGAAAATGCTTCTTCGTGAAGAATATATTATTAATATTTCCAAGGGTACAAAATGACCTTCAGTCCTATTGTAATGTTCTCACGTATATTGTCTAGGAAATCCACTTAAAATCACTAGGCTCTCTATCAGCCTCTTTATATAGAGATCAAACCCAGCCGAGAAAGAAAACCATTAAAAATGTTATCACACAATCATAAGCATAATTTAGGAAGTGTTATTAAAAAGAACAATTAACTTAATATTCAAAATAATAATATGGGAAAATTATTTCCATTAGCGCTGAAGACAGTGGGTTTCCAGAATGTTCTGAGTAGTCCCCAATTCACAGAGCCCATAAATGGCACACTCAAGGCTGAATATTCTTTGCGTTAATTTATTCATCAAACTTTACTGAGAAGCTAATATATTCCAGAAATGCCAGCCTCTTTGCTAAGGGATGAGATTCACCGGCCCACCCTGGAAGATCATAATGTCACAGGCAGACAGACACATCAGCCAATAAAGTGCCATATTATGTGATCAGTGTTACAAAAACAGAGCATTCAGTCTCTCCGGGAGGCCAGGGAAAGCTTCCAGGAGGGCAGACTTTCTGTCAGCTCTGGGTTTCAAAGGATAGCAATGCCTCGGGACTAGTAGGAGAAACCTTTAAAAACCGGGAGCAGTCAGAGCCCTGGGATCCGGAAGCAGCCTTCAGTGCTTGGGGAGGACAACGGGTTGGGACCACGGGAACACAAAGTGCCAGTGTCTGAGTGGCAGGAGCTGAAGCTGGGAATGGAAGGTGTGGAGAACGTGCCAGGGTTTTTGGTGTTTCTGTATTATCTTTATCTGTGGTTTCCTTCTTCCGAGGACTTCCCGAATGTCTGTTCACATTCGGTAAATTAAGATGGCTTTGTCTCATTTTTCCTTTTAAATTGACAATTCTGGGTGCCTGGGGGGGCCTCAGTCGGTTAAGCGTCCGACTTCAGCTCAGGTCATGATCTCACGATTCGTGGGTTCGAGCCCCGCGTCAGGCTCTGTGCTGACAGCTCGGAGCCCGGAGCCTGCTTCCGATTCTGTGTCTCCCTCTCTCTGCCCCTCCCCCACTCATACTCTGTCTCTCTCTCTCTCTCTCTCAAAAATAAATACACAGTAAAAACTAAATAATAAATAAATAAATAAACAATTCTGATACCCAGCAGACTTTACACATGTACTCACTGCAAATTAAAAAGTCTCATATTTCCGGGACACCTGGGTGGCTCAGTCAGTTAAGCATCCAACTTCAGCTCAGGTCATGATCTCACAGTTTGTGGGTTCGAGCCCCGTGTCAGGCTCTGTGCTAACAGCTCAGAGCCTGGAGCCTGCTTCAGATTCTGTATCTCCCCCTCTCTCTGCCCCTTCCTTACTCATGCTCTGTCTCTCTCTCTCTCTCTCTCAAAAATTAAAAAAATTTTTTTAAATGTTTTAAATAATTAAAAAAATAAAAAGTCTTGTATTTCCAACAAACATAGAAAACCTAACTTCTTCAAAGGGATGGTTTTTTTCAAGTCACCCTCCAAGACGTTTGGGGAGTAGTCGTTAGAACATGTCATACGAATTTGGGACATAGTCATCAGGAGTATCTTCCTTTGACAAACCTTCACCCTTGGAGGGGGAGTTTCCTTTCCCGTGTGGCCAAAGCCCAATCAGGATAAAGAAAAATGAATGAAGAAGGTGACTGAGCTCAAAATTACACGCGGAGGCCAGCGAGGTGCCCCTCTAAAGCATCAAGCCCAGTGTTCTTTGGAGGTGTCTAAAAATGGCCTTTTCAGGGCATCTGGGTGGCTCAGTCGGTTAAGTGCCCAACTCTTACTTTCGGCTCAGGTCATGATCGTGAGTTCAAGCCCCACATCAGCCTTCTCTCTCTGCCCCTCCTCATCTCTCTCTCTCTCTCTCTCTCTCTCTCTCAAAATAAATAAAGACTTAAAAAAATAAAAATAAAAATGGCTCTTTGGAAGCCAACAGAAGCAGCACCAATGGCGTGACAAGTCGCTGGAATGAGGGTTTGAAGAGTAATTAATGGCATGTGCTTCAAAAAATACTAACACCTCACTACTTGGCCTTCGCAACCAACATCACCAGCTCTTCGCCCCCCCCACTAAAGCCAATATTTTACAAATAGTTTTATCGAAAATATAGGCAACACAACTCTAGAGGAGAAAGATGTGGGGCGCCTGGGTGGCTCAATCAGTTAAGCATCTGACTACGGCTCAGCTCATGATCTCGAGGTCCATGAGTTCGAGCCCCGCGTCGGGCTCTGTGCTGACAGCTCAGAGCCTAGAGCCTGCTTCGGATTCTGTGTCTCCCTCTCTCTCTGCCCCTCCCCCATTCATGCTCTGTCTCTCTCTGTCTCAAAAATAAACATTAAAGGAAAAAAAAGTTAAAAAAATGAAAGATGTGAGGAAAGAGAGAATTACCTCAAGTGTTCCAATTTTCTGCCTGAACCCACTTCATGAGAGCATGTTTCTTTTCTCTTGTTTACTGTAGGAAGAGGTTCAACTGGCTTATTTCACCCAGATTTTCTCTGTCCCTACACTCATGTCAGAGTGGTCTTCTGAGGTATAGAAAAGCACCCCCCTCTTGAATGAACTACAGACTGTCTAGAACACCCTTTTCACAGTGTCCCGTGCAGCCCAAATACCTTGTATATTAATATCCCAGATCATATGCCCCTTTGCAGTACCTTCCCTGGCTCTCCTTCTGTTGGAATTACTAGCTCCTTCCTCACTGCCTCTACAGAGCGGTTCTCTCTATTTAATAGGATTTTCCAAACAGCCTTGTACTTAAATTGTTGTCATGTCTGGCTTTTCCTCCAGTACAGAAGCTCCTTGTGTTCAAGTAGCACAGCGTGTCTTATCTCTGGGCTCTAGCTTGAACAGTGCGTAACAATAATGAAAGATGATTGAATTACATTAAACATGTAACGTTGAACTGTTTGAACTCAGATTCGACCTGTGTGAATTGGTACCCAACACAGTCGTCAGAGAAACAATATATATATGAAGTAATACAGGTGGGAAAATGCTAAGCGTTCCCTGATTCAAAGGAACTAATGGGTCATCATTGGATTTATTTTCTCCCTTTTTTGGTGCATAGTATTTTTTTGATAAAGTGATTATTCTCTAAGCATCTTTCCTCCTCTTTCATACATCAGTTTCATAAAAACAGCCTGGCCATATTAAATGTTTTCATGCTAATATTTTTATTAAATAATCTCTGCAAACTTATTGTACTCTAAATGTGTGGAAGACCATTGGGCTGAACCACAGAATTGGCAATTTTTACAGACTATTCCCTCACTTTTCAAATGAGAGAACTTAATTTTATATGCTTTTAAAAAATCATTCTCCTTTAATATTTGTATCTTTACTTCTTTCTCATGCACATTGATAGCTGTCATCCTTTTTTATTTTATTTATTTATTTATTTATTTATTTAATTATTTATTTCTTGTTTGAGAGAGAGAGCATGTGCAGAAGCAGGGGAAAGGGATAGAGGGACAGAGAGAGAGAGAGAGAGAATCTTAAGCATCCTCCATCTGTAACATAGAGCTTGATGTAGGACTTGATCCCACAACCCTGGGATCATGACCTGAGCTGAAATCAAGAGTCAGATGCTCAACTGACTGAGCCACACAGGTGCCCCCCTTTTTCTTATTTTAGAGAGATCATTATTTTTTAAAGACTATTTTTAGAGCAGTTTTAGGTTTACAACAATGTTGACAGGAAGGTATAGATATGCCCTAAGAACCGCCCCCCATCCCTACACATGCACAACCTCTCCCTCACCGTCAACATCACTCACCAGAATGGAACATTCTTTACTGACGGAGAACCCCCACTGTGACATCATAATCACCCAAAGTCTATTGTCTACCTTAGGGCTCACTCTTGGTGTTGTACATTTTGAAGACCTGGACAAACATATAAGGACATGTATCCACCATTATAATGTCATAGAGTATGTTCACACCCCAAAAAATCTTCTGTCCTCAGCCTATTTATCTCTCCAAATGCCCTTCAACAATCCCTGACCCTTTGACTCTCTCCATTTTCTTTGCCTCTCCCAGGCAGTTATACAGCTGGAATCATACAGTGTAGACAGCCCTTTCAGGGTGGGTTCTTTCACTTAGTGACATGCATTTAAGGATACTCCATGTCTTTTCAGAGCTTGATAGCTCATTTCTTTTTACTGGTAAATAATATTCCGTTGTCTGGATGGACCCCAGTTGATTCCTCTTTTCACCTACTGATGGACATCTTGGTTCCTCCCAAGTTTGGGCCATTGTGAATACAGCTGCGATAAACGTTGGTGTGCTGGTTTTTGTGTGGACCTGAGTTTTCAGCTCCTGGGGGTAAGTGCCAAAGAGCATGACTGCTGGATCATAAGGCAAGGGTATGTGTACTTTTATAAGAAACCACCAAAACTCTCTTCCCGCGCAGCTGTGCCTTCTGCAATCCCGCCAGTGTGTGACGATTCCCGTTACCCCACGTCCTCACCAGCATTTGGTGTTGCCAGTGTTCGAGCCTTGGCCATCCTGGTAGGGGGTCAGTGGCATCTCACACCCTGGCTGATCTTTTGTCCTCGGAATGTAAACGTCACAAATGCTTCTCATTTTTTCTTCCCCCTTTAGGTGGGACATGATGGCCAGTGGGGGCTGGAGTTGGCTATTTCCCTTCCCCAGGTCAGGTGGGCCCTGCAGATTAAGCTGCGGTTGGCCAGCTTCCCCCGAAGGCTGGACGTTTTGGGGAAGAACGGAGGGCTCTAGCGTATTCACAAGAGCACCTCCTCCCCTTTCTCTGCCGGAAGACGGAGACATTTTTCTCCAGTATTTAGTGTGGGAATCTGGTCAAGCTCCTAGAGGTTAAGTCTCACACTATTGTGCCCCCACCCCACACTCAACCGGGTCCCCCTGGAGTCTTTTAGCTCTCAGAGTTGTCCACACTGAGCCTCCACAAGCTTGTCTATCACAGGTCAAGTTTTCCTCCCTTGCACTGGTTCCCACCACGGCTTCTGCTCCTGGGCGTCTATGCCGTTAAGCCAGGACTCCCTGCACTTGTCTCTGTCTCCAGTGTTGGAAACAGTAGTTCACCCCGTGTGCTCCCGTCTCTTATGAACCAAGAGTTGTGGATTTTTCAGCCCGTTCAACTTTTTACTTACTGTTGGGCCAAAGTAGCAACTTCCTACCTTCTTATACATGGAACCGGCAACGGGAAGTTTCTAAACGTTATTTTTAATAAATGTTTTAAATGCAGGTACTACAATGATCTATTTTTCTTAACGGTGGCACATTTGGGGCATTTAGTTGTTTGGGTTTTTTTTTCATCTTTCCACATTAGTAATGTAGATTTTAAAAGGCTGAACCACCTTAGGGTCAACTTCAGCTGATGTTCACGGACCAAAGCTCTCAGTCCATTGACCAAAGTCTCAAACGATACTACGGATTGTTAGGGAGGGTTTCATTTAAGAGTACAGCAGCAGATTTCTATAGGACGTTGCAGAGCACGACTTCCTAAATAACGTCTCTAGAATGTTCTCCGTTCAAAATCTGCCCTCACAGAGCTGCTGCAACTCCACGTGCTTTCCCCAACATACTTCGCCACCTTGTCTCCCTCGTCTTTCCCTTCTGAAGGAAGGAGCTCCTGAAACTGACTGTTTTGTCAAGATGGGCTGCCCCACTAGAATGCTGGTAACCCTTCCATTATAGTAAGCAAATAACATTTCCATTGAAGTCTTTGTGCCTAAAGCTTTACCTACATCTCAGATTTATCCATAAAGGGAATTTCCAGAAGTAAGCTTGCTTGGTCCAAAGTTATGAATGTAGTTAAAACTTTGAATAGTTGCTGTTATTCGTTCCATTGCGTCCCCATACGCTGATATGTTAAAGCCCCAACCCCCAATGTAAAGCGAGGTCATTAGGGTGGGTCCTAATGTAATCTGACTAGCGTCCTTATAAGAAGAGATTAGGACAAGGGCACCTGGGTGGCTTGGTCGGTTAAGCAGCCGACTTTGGCTCTGGTCATGATCTAGTGGTTCATGGGTTCGAGCCGTGCTGACAGCTCGGAGCCTGGAGCCTGCTTCGGATTCTGTGTCTCCCTCTGTCTCTCTGCCTCTCTCCTGCTTGTGCTCTCTCTCTCTCAAGAATAAATAAATATTAAAAAAAAATTTTTTTTATAAGTGATTAGGACAAACACCCACAGAGGGGGGACCATGTGAGGACACAGCAAAAAGGCAACCATTTGCAAACCAAGGAGAGACACATGAGCAGACCCCTAGTTCTTAGACTCCCGTCTCCAGGACTGTGAAGAAACCCATTTTCATTGTTTCAAGCACCAAGCCTGTGGTATTTTATGATGGCAGCCGTAGCAATGTAATACATCTTGTTAAAAGCTTTAGACCAACCTATGCCCCCACCAGCAGAACTGGGGAACAGCACTCAGCTCTCAGGAAAAGAGTCTGTGCTAGGATCATCCCAAAGCAAGTGACCTGTCACCAGGGCAGCAGGACAAGGCACGGCACAGCCACAGGCCCGCAGGGCGGCCACACGGGCTCCCCGCAGGGCCCTTTCCCAGGGTGTGGACGGGCACCATTGCAGGCTCCGTAGGCTCAGCAGCCGGGGCCATGGCAAGGACACCTTCCAGAAGGGCTGGACGCTGCTCCAAGAGGGGCCTCTCCGGAAAGGGTACAGTGGGCGTCAGACAAGAGAGAGTAACCTTAGCAACCCAAGCTGATTTATGGCCTGGTGTGGCCTTGTATACGGCTGCTTCCACCCCAGATAATTCACGGCTGCACGTGCCCCCATCACCCTGCTCTTGGCCAGGCTGCCACAAGGTCATCCGACAAAGCAGAGGGGAAATCCTTTCTGGCTTGTGTGAGGGGCTGCTGGGGGACAGCTTCTGAAGGTGCCGCGTGGCCCTGTAAGACAGCCCACATTTTCCTTTTAGTGGCAGTGTCCTTAACTCTCTTTGAGACGTTACAGCAGGGCTGACCATCTCCTGGCTGGGAAATCACAAGGACCCATTCCCTCTCCTCTGGGGGCTTCCTGACGTGTCCCCGCCTCTGCCCCTGCTCCCTGACCACTTGATCCTCCCCAGCTGCTCTCCACACGGGCCTGTCATGGCATCCCTGCCCCTGACCCCCATCCTTTACAGCAAGGCCATTTTTTTTTTAATTTTTTAAAATGTTTATTTTTGAGAGAGAGACAGAGACAGAGACAGAGAGACAGAGTGCCAGCAGGGGAGGGGCAGAGAAAGAGGGAGACACAGAATCCGAAGCAGGCTCCAGGCTCTGAGCTGTCAGCACAGAGCCCGACGTGGGGCTGGAACCCACGAACTGTGAGATTGTGACTTGAGCTGAAGTCAGTCGCTTAACTGACTGAGCCACCCAGGCGCCCCGTGGCTTTTGGTTTTTTTAATGTTTATTTATTTATTTTGAGAGAGAGAAAGAGAGAGCACGAGCAGTGCAGGGGTAGAGAGGAGGAGAGAAGGAATGCCAGGCAGACTCCTCACTGCCAGTGCAGAGCCCAGCACAGGGCTCGATCCCACCAACCCTGGTATCATGACCTGAGCCGGAATCAAGAGTCAGACACTTAACTGACTGAGCCCCCCAGGCACCCCACAATAAGGTTGTTAAAATTTGGTGTCCCCATTATTAAAAAATATGTTCGGGGCATGTATACCCAATACATGCATGCATATATCTTTTATAAATTAGACCTTTACTATGTTATATATATATATAACCTATCCTATAAAAGTCATAGAAACAAACCAAAAAAATTAAAGGAAAAGGCTGAAAACCAAATCCTTTCCCCTGAGTGAAAGACTGCCTCTTGCCATTGTTCACAAGGCCATGCTTCTTCACCATCTCTACCTGTGTAGACATTGTCCCCTCTGTCTCAATGGTCCACTGGTCCAAGCTTCTGCTCTCTGAGCATCCAGATTAATTATGAGCAGTGAAGACCGTGTAGCCAGGCAGCATGAGAACATTCCAGAGCTCAAGGAAAGAGTATACACTGTTTTCTTAATGTGTATTTATTTTTGAGAGAGAGAGCGGGGAGGGGCAGAGAGAGGAGACAAAGAACTCGAAGCAGGAGGCTCCAGGCTCCGAGCTGTCAGCACAGAGCCCAATGTGGGGCTCGAACCCACAAGCCACGAGATCATGGCATGAGTCAGAGTTGGACGCTTAGCCATCTGAGCCACCCAGGCGCCCCAGTACTAACTACACCATTCTTTAAAGTTGCTTAAAGACTTGTTTCAATCACAAATTAAGGACTTAGAAATGGAAACGTAAAATGGTAAGAATCCCTAGGAGCCCTGAAAACAAATTTAAACCTGAGAGTCTAGGATCTGGTGATAAAAGTAACTGCAGATGTCCAGAATTTATTCTTATGAAATATATGCGAACAGTGATTCCTAGTTATTAACCTGAGTTCAGAACACCAGCCTATTAGGCGAGCTTACAAATGGAAGGAGGAAGCCAGGGTTGTCCAGTTCCTATCTCATCACTAGGGAATTCCAGAGAGAACTTCATTTTGAACTCTACTAATAACAAGAATACAACTTTAAAATCTTTTCGAGAAAGTTAAATATAGCTACAAGTAGCATATCAATTGATAGGTAGATCTTCTCTATTAGAAAATAAGGGGAAGCCATCGAAACGTAGTTTATTAAGCAAAGATAGAATAAAAGAATACGAACGCATAAATGTCAGCATAAAATAAGGTGACAGGAGTAAAAACCTATTATAATAGGTCATTTAAATGTTTTTAAATTTTGCACGATGCTGGGAAAATATTTATTGGAAATATCAAGTTTAAAAAACACAATACAGGGGGCTCCTGGGTGGCTCGGTCAGTTGAGTGTCTGACTTCGGCTCAGGTCATGATCTCACGGCGCGTGGGTTCAAGCCCCGCATCGGGCCCTGTGCTGATGGCTCAGAGCCTGCAGCCTGCTTCGGGTTCTGTGTCTCCCTCTCTCTCTTCTCCTCCCCACTCATGCTTTGTATCTCTCTCTGTCTTTCTCAAAAATAAACAAACATCCAAAAAATTTTAAAAACACAATCACAATAAATCAACCCCAAAACACGTATATACCTATGCACACTTCATGCATGGGTATGTATAATGTAAGTGTGTGCATGCATGCAGGTGTGTGCGTACACACAAGAGCATCTACAACGATATATTACAGTCATACATATGCATACGCGCATATCTACGTGTATGTATTTATATACACATATACATTTTTTAAATCCAAAATCGTACCGTAATATCAGTACAAATAAAGCCATGTTAACAATAATTAGCCAAAGTGTGTGTCGTTGCCCTGCCCCCCACGCCCCGTCTCCCCCTCCCAGGCACTCGTAAGATAGCTGTTTTCTGCAGTCCTTCCCTAAGGGCGTTCAGATTTTACAGAGTCATATAGAGGCGCGCAAAACAAAACAAGAAAACAAAAATTCTGTTGCCAATAGTTACTGATGGGAAAATCAAACTTTCAGAATCAAGAGACTTTTGTGCCCAATATTTTATTTTACTTTTTTTTCATGTTTATTTTATTTTTAAGAGAGACAGAGATACATGAGGCTGGGAGCGGCAGAGAGAGAGGGAGACACAGAATCCGAAGCGGGCTCCGGGCTCCGCGCTGTCAGCACAGAGCCCGACGCGGGGCTCGAACCCAAGACTGTGAGATCGTGACCCGAGCTGAAGTCAGGCGCTGAACCGACTGAGCCACCCAGGCGCCCCTGTGCCCAATATTTGAAAAGATAAAGATGAAGCTTACCAAAAAACTTGTAGTAGCTTAGTCTTTGAACAAACACTACCCTTTCACCTCATATTTCCTTTATTTCTCCTGTTTTTTAAACGCTTATTTTATTTTTGAGAGACAGAGACAGAGAGAGAGAGGAGCGAGAGAGAGCACAAGCAGGGAAGGGGAAGAGAGAGAGGGAGACAGAGGGTCCGAAGCAGGCTCCACACTGACAGCAGCGAGCCCAGTGCGGGGCTCGAACTCACGGGCTGTGAGATCACGACCTGAGCCCAAGTCAGACGCTCAACGGACTGAGCCAACCAGGCGCCCTCCCTTCTTTCTTCTGAACAAATATTACGAGTTCCCTTGTGTTCACATGTACGTTTAATCTATTTTTACATCTGTATCATCAGTTTCTCTTTTCCAAGTGCCCTTGTGGACCTTGTGGATTTCCTTCCTCGCGAACCCTAAAGCAATGACTGCAAAGGGTGGGAGGCACACGCCTGTGCAGGCTTCACACCTAGAGGGGGTCTGCGGGCTCAGAAAGCAGCCCTGGCTTCCCCAGCTTCTGGCTGGTGGCACTTTCCGCGTGTTTCTTGCGGCAGGCTTTTGAGAGCACGGCCCACAGTTCTAACCCAACGTGCCTGGCCACAGTCTTTGCGTGCGTTGCCCCACACTGGCTGCCATGCCTTGAGTTGATGCGTGGGGCTCCCCAAGCCCCTGGAAGGAGACATGGTCTCTGCACAGTTGCTTTCAGGGGTGCCCATGACCCACATCCCGCGAGAAGGTGGCATCTCCCGCGGCTCCAAGCAGGCTGTCCCACAAGCTCACGATGGACCCCGGAGAAGCGCCACTCCCACGTGGGGGCGAGTGCCACGTGCTTCCCCACGAGTCAGGAACCTCTTGGTGTCCCGCAAAGACACGCTCCTCCGATGACCCGGGAACGGTTTATTCCAAGTTGAAGGCGGCCCGACGGAGCCAGAAAGGGAACTCTGGGAGGAGACACAAGCCACGGCTTCTCGAGACGGCTCCAACACTCGCCTCTCTGGGGTTTTGGCAAATAATTTAACGACCGTTAGGGCTTCGCTCTCGTAATCTGAGAAGAGGCCATCAGGGGCTGGGTCCTGCGTCTTAA